ATAGGAGCACTAGTTCTGGCTATTCCCACACCAGTGACATCTGCAGTTATACTGTAACCACCTGGCTCTTGGCTGGGTGACCTGAGCTAAGTAGGCCTGGGACCAGAGTCTTATTCCTCAACAGCCCCTTCCCCTGATGCCCAGCCCTTGCCCAGGCTGAAGAAGCCTTGGGCAGGCTCTGTGGCAGCCAAGAATCCCTGGGCCAGGGCTCCTAGCTGTTTTGTCTCTTCCCATGGGGGCTGTCCCATGTCCTCTAGTGAGGGCACCTCACTCAGGTTCCTCCCCTCTTGTTCCTCGTCTTCTGTATCTCCCACCCCATATAGCACTTTGAAGTCCTTAATCTGTGGAACCTCAGGAGGTGGTAGGGAGGCAGGCTCAGGGCCCATGACTGAGGACTCAGCACAGGATGCCATGCTGCTGGGGATGAGGGTATGGGAACTGGCCTTCTGATTTAGGGACCCTCAATTGGGGTCCTGTGCCCCCCTCTCCACCCTTAGTCATGTGGCTGCTGTGCCTTGGGAACTCTGTTAAGTAAGTGTTCTTATCACACAAAAAAAAAATAAATAAAAAGGGCAGAAAGTTGGTAGGAAGGGAGGGAGGGAAGAAAGGTAAGTTTTTGGAAGTAATAAATATGTTATGGAATTGATGTGGTTATAATTTTATGGGTATACTTATCTCCAATCACTTCAAGTTGTACGCATTAAATATATACAGCTTTCTGTATGTCAATCACACTATAATAAAGTGTTTTCTTAAAAATATATCTAATCTAATAAAAGGATGATATGTAAATTAACCATCACTCTGAAAGAAATATGGTGGTGCCATAAGCATCCTGTGCTCTGGCCATGGAGGGAGAGAGGGCTGCAGATAAAATGTGAGGCTGCCAGGTTGTGGGTATGCCCCTGGCAGCCACTGCATAGCTCGGAGCATGCCCCCAGCCCAGCACACACAATGCAGGAGTCCTTTGCACATGAGCTGCAGAGAAAACACCTTTTCTGATCACTCATTGGATAAGCTCCCTGTTCACCGCCATTTGCAATGTTCTTGGTAACTTGGGTAATAAGAATCCAAGAAGGTGACCTAGGGTTCTTCCACTTCACTCCTGGGGGAAAAAATAAGTTCTGCCACTGGAGGGGCTAATAAATGTCATATCTTGCCCTATCCAGTTTGGCTAAGTGGATAGAGCCTCGGCCTGCTGACCTCAGGGTCACCACAGGGTCCAGATTTGATTCTGATCAAGGGCATGTACCTAGGTTGCAGGCTTCTCCCTGGCGGGGGCCCAGGTCAGGACTCATGCAGGAGGCAATCAATTGTCCCTCTCACATTGATATTTTTCTCTGTCTTTCCCTCTCTCTTTTAAGCTCTCTAAAAATCAATGGAAACATCCTCAGGTGAAGGAAGGAAGGAAGGAAAGAAAGAAAGAAAAAAGAAAGAAAGGAAGGAAGGAAGGAAGGAAGGAAGGAAGGAAGGAAGGAAGGAAGGAAGGAAGGAAGAAAGAAAGAAAGAAAGAAAGAAAGAAAGAAAGAAAGAAAGAAAGAAAGAAAAGAAAAAAGAAAAAAAGGAAGGAAGGAAGAAAGAAAGGAAGAAGAAAGAAAGTTCATATCCTATGAAAGACACATCTTGAAAATGCCTAAAGAAAGTTGTCCTTTTTTAATGGTGAAGGGACTGGAGTCCATGTTGATGAAAATAACTTGGTGGCTGGAGCAGCCAGCAGTGGCAGCAGCAGAGGGGGAATTTGGCTGGTGCCTTCCCTGAGGGCTCCCAGTCTATGAGAGGGGGCAGGCTGGGCTGAGAGACCCTCTCCTCCCCCAGGTACAAATTTTAGGCACCAGGCCTCTAGTATTACTAATAAAGCTTGAACTGCATTTTCACAAATATTCAATAGATACTCTTTTTTTTTGTTTGTTTGGTTTTTTTTTGTTGTTTTTTTTTTGTTTTTGTTTTTGTTTTTGTTTTTGTTTTTTTGTGAGGGCAGGGAGAGAAATCTCATTGTTTATGTCAAACAGCCACTTAATTGTAGCACTGAAACTAGAACTCAGGTCTTTGGATCCTAACTTAATTTCTAAATCCATTACACTTTTCCTCAATAATACCTTGCTTTAATAAACTCAGCTAGTTGAAAACAAAGACTTGTTTGTGTTTTAATCTGTTTTAACATCTCTTCTGTCATTTCAAATAAATCTCAACATCTCTGTTACCTTGTGTATTTAGTTTCCATATTCATTTTATTCACAACTACCTCGTCCAGATAGATGTTTGTATACCTATTTTTAATATATATATTTCTTTATTGATTTCAGAGAAGGAGAGATAGAAACATCAATGATGTGAGAGGATTATTGATTGGCTGCCTCCTGCACAACCCCCACTGGGGATTGAGCCCATAACCAGGCATGTGCCCTTGGCCAGAATCAAACCTGAGACGCTTCAGTCTGCAGGCTGATGCTCTAACCACTGAGCCAAGTTAGCTAGGGCTTTATACCTATTTAAGGACATGATTTTATAGGACAAAAACCACGAGTATTCTTTATTATGTAACTCAAAAAAAAGCCAGGTACTATCTGGACACTGAGTAAACACTGGGTCACTCATGTTAGTTCTTTTAATCTCAGCTTGGAACCCCACAAAAGAAAGATGCCATAGAAACACAGAGTATTCAGAGAAAACAAAATCCACATGAAGACTCTGATACACATTCACATACACAGTTACATGCACATGTGTGCACACACACAAAGAATTCCACAGCATTCAAATGTATTCTTGTTATCTTGGCTTGTTCAGTTTTTCATATACCAAGGTATCTCCCCCAACAGTTATTCATGATAAACAACAAGTATCGTGGGCATTTCCACTCTGGCATTTGCCAAAAGGAAAATGAATAATCCAGTATTTGTGTAGCTACAGGGACAGGCAGGCTTTGCCATTAGCAGAGAGAACCTTGGCTGAATTAGTGAGTACCAACTGGCACCATTCCACTAAGCACAAAGGGGGATAGTCTCTACTGTTTAGTCTCCAAATATCTGCACTTATGCAAGTGTATTTCCATATTCAGAAGGAAAGGGTATTATGTGGGATACTTGCCACTTTTCAGTAATTATGAAATAATCTCTGCGGGGCTTTGTATAATCAAAACTTTGTTTTCAAAAAGCATTATTCATCTACACTTGTTTTAAAAAGAAGTCTGTTGTTTTTTGAACCAATACTCTGATTTTCACAAGTAAGAAAATGAAGCTCAAGCTTAACAACACCATTACAGGCATACCTATTGCAGGTTTAGTTTCAGACAACTTTAATGGCAATAAAGCAAACCACATAAATTTTTTCCCACTGCATATAAAAGTTATGTTTAGACTATACTGTAGTCTATTAGGGGTGAAATAACAGCTTATCTAAAAAAATATACAAACCTTAATTTTTTTTAAAGAATAGCTTATTGGTTTTTAGAGATAGAGAAAGGGAGAGGGAAAGAGAGAGAAACATCAATGAGAAAGAAACATGGATCAGGTGCCTCCTGCATACCCCCTGCCAGGGATTGAGCCACAATCTGGGCATGTGCCCTTGACCAGGAATAAACAGCAGAACTCCTTGTACATGGATGACACCCAACCAACTGAGCAACACTGGCCAGGACAGACCTTAATTTTAAAATGTTGCTAAAAGTGCTTACCATCATCTGAGCCTTCAGCAAGTGGTATTCTTTTTGCCGGTGGAGGGTCTTGCCTCGATGTTGATGGCTGCTAACTGATCAAAGTGGCAGTTGCTGGACGTTGGAGGTGCTGTGTCAATTTCTTAAAATAAGACAATGAAGTTTGCCACATGGTTGTTAGGGTAGCCGAAGGAGGAACGCATGAGGCAAAAAAAAGGGCGAAGAATTACCCAGATGGGCTGAGTTCCAAAATGGCACCAGCTCCTAAAGATGAGGAGTCAGAGGTTTTTAAAGGACTCTAGGTGGGCTTTTTGTGAGAGGATAATTCTCTGTGCAGGTCCAGATTCTGGGAAACTCCTGACGGAAGAGATAATGGTCTTAGAAGGTGGAATGTGGTCTAAGCAAGTTGAGTGTCCATTGTGAAGTGGCCTAAAGGTCAGTACCCAGGGGAGGGGGTGTCAAATCAATTATTTGATCAGACTTAACACATGGGTTGACTCTTTATTTCACTAACAATTTCTCTGTAGCATGCAATGCTGTTTGATAGCATTTTACACACAGTAGAACTTATTTCAAAATTGAAGTCAATCATTTCAAACCTTTATGCTGCTTTATCAACTAAGTTTATGCATTAGCCAAAAAAACTGTGTTGTCATTTCAACAACCTTCATAGCATCTTCACCAGTAGTAGACAAGGGACTCTTCCTTTTACTCAAACACTTAGAAGCCACTATAGGGTTGATAATTGGCCTAGTTTCAATATTGTTGTATCTCAGGGGATAGGGAGGCCCCAGAAGAAGAGGAGAGATGGGTAATGGCTTGTCAGTGGATCAGTCAGAATACACACATTTATTCATTAAATTAATAGTCTTATATGAGCACAGTTCATGGTGCCCCAAAACAATTACAATAGCAACATCAAAGATTGTTTATCACAAATCTTTATAATAAATAATTATAATAATAATGAAAAATATGAAATATTGATACAATTACCAAAATGTGACACAGAGAAATGAAGCAAGCAAATGATATTGTAAAAATGATGCCAATAGGTTTATGTGATGCAGGGCTGTGATAAACTTCCAATTTGTAAAAAAAAAAAAATTAAATTAAATTAAAAAAACACAATATCTGCAAAGTGTAGTCAAGAATGGTATGCCTGTCTGGTTGAGGATCAACTTATGAACCAGGAGGTCAAGGTTTGTGGGTTTGATCCCTAGCAGGGGATGTGCAGGAGGCAGCTGATTAATGGTTTTCTCTCATCATTGATATTTCTATCTCTCCCTGTCCTTTTCTCTCTTAAATAAATAAATAAAAAACATATTTAAAAAAAGAATGGGAGCCAGCACCGCTGGAGCCTGTTCGCGTCGACTAACCAGAGTCCGCGAATCCTCCACTCCAAGCCGATCTGGACTGCCCCGAGCCCAGCTTTCTATCCTTTGAAACCACTAAGAATAATGCTCCTGCATCAGTTTTTACTAGAGCCAATTACCTGTCATGCCTGGAACAGGGATCGTACCCAGATTGCCCTTAGCCCCAATAATCATGAAGTCCACATCTATAAAAAGAACGGGAGCCAGTGGGTGAAAGCTCATGAACTCAAGGAGCACAATGGACACATCACAAGTATCGACTGGGCTCCCAAGAGCGACCGCATCGTCACTTGGGGGGCAGACCGCAAGGCCTATGTCTGGAGTCAGAAAGACAGTGTCTGGAAGCCAACCCTGGTGATCCTGAGAATTAACCGTGCGGCCACTTTTGTCAAGTGGTCCTCACTAGAGAACAAGTTTGCTGTGGGAAGTGGAGCAAGACTCATTTATGTTTGTTATTTTGAGTCTGAAAATGACTGGTGGGTAAGCAAGCACATTAAAAAGCCAATTCGCTCCATGGTCCTCACCTTGGATTGGCATCCCAACAATGTTTTGCTGGCAGCAGGATCATGTGATTTCAAATGCAGAGTGTTTTCTGCATACATTAAAGAAGTGGATGAAAAGTTAGCCAGTACACCCTGGGGTAGCAAGATGCCTTTTGGTCAGCTGATGTCCGAGTTTGGTGGCAGTGGTACTGGTGGCTGGGTGCATGGCGTCAGCTTCTCCGCCAGCGGGAGTCGACTGGCCTTGGTCAGCCATGACAGCATTGTGTCCGTTGCCGATGCCTCAAAAAGCGTGCAGGTCTCAACTCTGAAAACAGAGCTCCTGCCCCTCCTGAGTGTGTCATTTGTTGATAGAGAACTCTAAAGGTCCAGGTAGAGGAATGTAAATTTGCTAAACCTATATAATAAATAGGTAATATGCGATCGACAGAACAGCAGAAGGACTAGTCACTATGACATTCACTGACCACCAGGGGGCAGACACTCAATGCAGGAGCTGCCCCCTGGTGGTCAGTGCCCTCCCACAGTGGGAGCGCTGCTCAGCCACAAGCTGTGCTCATGGCTGGTGAGCATAGCGGACCTAAATCGGCAGTTGGACATCCCCTAAAGGTTCCAGACTGCAAGAGGGTACAGGCCAGGCTGAGGAACCCCCCCCCCCCTCCACCCCGTCCCCCACTCCAGTGCCTGAATCTCACGCACTGGGTCTCTAGTAAAAGTAATAAGAAACTACTTTAGTTTTATGAGAAATGGAGCAACCTAATAAAGCCAACCAAAGCTACAAAGTGGTATAGCATACTGGTAAAGATCTCGAGTCTGAAGCTTAATTTCCTGGTTTTGAATGTTGACTCTTCCACTTTTCATGTTTTTCATTTTCCTGAACAGTAAAATAGATCTCAGAATTTTGCCAACTTCATAGGGTTTATATGAACATTAGATGATTTAGTACAAGTAAAATGATTAAGTTAGTGCTTCACACAGAGTTGCCATCCAATAAATGTTAGTTTCTATATGAGAAGGTGGGGAGGGCACTTTATCCTGGGGCCATTTCTCAATCTAACTATATTTTTCCTGCACTTTTGGATATAAATCATGTCCTTCATCTAACCAGTGTTTCCCAAAGTGTGGTACGCGTACCCCCAAGGGTACGGGAAGAGTTTGGTGGGGGTACGCGTTGCACCAGAGTTTGGTGGGGATATGCACTGCACCGTGCTTAGCTGCGACTAATTCTACGTTCTCATGAGTATGAGGGGTACTCAGCATTACGAAAATTATAGAAGGGGTACACATATGTCAAAAGTTTGGGAAACACTGAACAAACTAATTTGCTCATCTTTGCTATTCCAATGGAACATTATCCCTGCTTGGGGTAGCCCATTACTAGTCTTTTTCTACCAACCCACATTTCTACTCCAGTTAAAACCCTTACCTCAAATGACATTTATTTTCTTACTAATCCCACCCAAATTCTATCACTCCTTCAGCTTTCTCTCTACAATGCAGGTGCTCCAGTCAATTTTCCTTGTTTTACTGTGATTTTTTCAATAGTGCAATGCTCTCTCCCCTCCACTGAAATTATCTTTCAAAGATTCCTAACTTGACCAAGAATAAAAGCCAAAATTCTTGAGTGTCATCCATAGAGATTTTTAATATTTTTCCTTCACAATTTAAATATATTGTCATAACAACATGTTTCTCTGCTACTGATTAGTCACAGGGAAAGGCAGTACTTCCTGGAGGCAACAGTTAAATCCCGAGTGTTTACAATATGTAGGCATTGAAGTCCAACTATTTAGGTTTGTATCCTGACTATTCTATTTACTGAGCATCCGTAGGCAATGCTCTTAATGTTTCTGAGTTTAAGTTTCCTTATCTACAAAATAGAAAAATGAGTAGTAATCACCTCACAGAATTGTTTAGAAAATTAAATAAGGTAATAAATTAAAAAGGCATAGCATAGTACTTGGCATGTATAAATATATTAAAAAATGGTAACTAATATTATAATTACTATAATTTCATTTAGTTCTAACCTGAAAAATATAGGAGGAATTACTATTTCCTTATGTAAGGCAGAAAAGAGGCTTAGAGAAGTAGAGGCCTTTAAGTGGACAGAACTAATAAATGGCAGAATTTGAATTTCAGCTGAATCTGCTGCTATTTAGCTATTAATATTTATCCTGCTATTTTTTTTTGCATTTCCATAAACTTTTAGGTATAATATTTAGAATGGAAAATTTATTACTTTTTGTCTGTTTCTTTAATAACACTTTTTTTTTCTTTAAGTACGGACATATAATGAGCAGCCATGGCCTAATCTGTCTGGGTACACTGCAGAATGTGATGTCTTCTATACGAACACCCCTACCCCTCGACCCCCCGTAGGTGAGTGGAAAAAACTTACCATGTGCAAATAGCACTGCATCACTGAGGGAGAGCCCTGACTTCCGGTTTCCCAAAGAGATCCTGAAATTGAGTATTAAGGTTTTATTTAATTTCATCCAATTGTGTATATCATCTCTGTGTGTCCTTCATTCTAAAGACCATATAATAAAGCAATTAATGTAACCCCAAGAAACCAAACATTCACTGTGTAGCCTATAGCAAATTCATAACACTGTTAAATGAATTACCTTAAACCAGCGTTTTTCAACCAGTATGCAGAGGCAGGCATACTGGTGTGCTGATAGAATTTTTTAGAACATACAATACCTGACTATTTAGAAAGGGGCACTGATCTTTGTTCCCTTAATTGTCAAATTAAAAAAATGACAATAGCCAACACAATAGCTGTCTGGTGTGAATGAATAAAAATTATTCATTTTTGTCAAATTGGCAAAATACATATTGTGTGGTGTGCAGCAGAATTTTAGTAATTATGGGGATGAAAAAGGTTGAAGATTACTGCCTTGAATTAATGATACTCAAAAGCATGTGAGTTGCAAGCTCCTTGAGACAAAGCATTCAGCAGTCAAGTAAGTTGGTGAAGCACTGCATGCTATAATCTCCTTCTAGGAAATTTACACAATTGTATTAGTTAAGGTTCTTTTAGTTACAAGCAACCAAAATCAATTTGAGCTGGTATAAACCTAAAAGTGAATTTATTGGAAGGATACTCTGATAATATACAGAAATCAAAAGAACAGTTGTATTACTGAACTTCAGTAAGATTAACTACTGAACATGCCCGCAGCATGAGTTGCCAGAACTTCCCAAATGGGCACCTTTACACCAGTGCAGACATGATGCATAAAACCCCCTTAGAGATCTTGTTAAGAACTCCAGCAGTTGGCTTAGAGTGCATGGTGAGTCTTCAGTATTGTTTAGCTCTCATTATGAAACATTTTTTCTGTAAATCAGGTGTAAAACATTCTGATTTAGAAATCTTGGGGAGGGCACAATAGTCAGCATTTTTGCATAACTTCCATGAGTGTGAAGTTGAGTCAGACTTCAAAATCACTTCTCAAGGAACACTTAAGTGACACAGTCACCAGTGATGGCCAGCTTCTGTATCTCTCAGCTTAAAATGCTATGAGGATGCCCTAGCCAGTTGGGCTCAGTGGTTAGAACGTCGGCCTGCAGACTAAAGGGTCACGGGTTTGACTGCAGCCAAGGTCACATGCCTGGGTTTCAGCTAGATCCCTAGTAGGGGATTAGGGGTTGTGCAGGAAGCAGCTGATCAGTGATTCTCTCTCATCATTAATGTTTCTATCTCTCTCTCTTTCTATATATATTTTAAAATGTTATGATGATAATTATTCTTAATGGGTTCTTGAGATTCAAATATTTTATTCCTTGACCAATCATCTATGGTCTGGGAACCACAATATATGTGACTGCAGATGACATATTTCTGAGTAATAGGAGCAGTTCCCGGAAGAGGGGAACTTTTTGTGATCTAAGTAGCCAGCCCAATAAGTGTCTGCTTAAAAAAAGAAAGGAAAAAAAAACATTCTAAGAGGTACCTTAAAAAATGCTTACTTTTGTTTAATCAGGCTTTGCCTAAACTCAATGACCACAAAATCATATTTTCACCCAAAATTTATTGATGTCATTTAGAGCAAGGAATCTGCACCACACAGGAAATGAGTTGGAAAGTTATCCTGGTCCTCTCATGTTCACAAGATTTGGATATTAAACTGGCTTTCAACAGCGACTCCAGTAGTTTGTTTTGATATAGCAAAGGAAATGGTTCAGCATCACAGTTTCGAAAGACCATTTCAGTCTCAGCTTCCTAACTCATGAGATATTCTGTAACAATAAGCACAAGGGGATTCAGTGAAATTGAATAAGTTTAGCTGACATTGCCTATATGCATTTTATAAATTTTAGAATGTACTTAAGCAAAGTTGGTAGTCCCTGGGATGTAAAGTACAGCATAGGGAATGCAGTCAATAATGTTATAATAACTATGTATGAAACCAAGTGGGTACTGGAAATATCGGGAGGACCACTTTGTAAACTATATAGTTGTGTAACCCTATGCTGTACACCTGAATCTAATATAAAATAATATTGAATGTCACCTGTAGTTGAAAAAGAAACACACACACACACACACACACACACACACACACACACACACACAGAAAAACTCTGAAACTACTCATGACAAAGAGTAGTTCAGCTTTGTTTAACCCAGCATATGCCCCGATTATTTTGTGTGAGGAAGCCCTATGAATGAAGCCTACTTTACCCACAGGCAGTAACTGAGTGGAAGCCTGGTCCAGCCTTTCCTCCTTGTCTTCCATGTTGCTTCTTTATATATAAGAACAACCATTTTAAAATAGTCCCAAAGAGTTTCTGGTCTGAAATTGAGCCCGGTCAGCTATTACTTAAGGCATCTTTTTCTAACTCATGTTGTCTTTTCTTCTATTATAAGGAGAGTAAAGGTTATACCACTGTTTTCTGAACCAGTTAGAGCACCTGATATAAGAGGCATGTTCAAATTAGAGATCTGGTTCATTGCATTTGTACAACAAAAACAAACTTCTGTTTTATTTACAGCATTCAAAATGATTTCACTGAAATGCAAAGTTGAGCAAGCCACAAAAATTGGATTAACCACAAATCACAGAATGCCTGAAACAGTGCATAGGTTATATATTTATCTTATGAATCAGCCGTTCTGGTGTCTGCCTTTAATGGGTAATATTCCCTAAAGCCTTTTTATGTATTTCAAGTACATCACAACAGGTGTATTCACCTACAGAATTCACCTGCCATTACATCTGAATTTGACATGGCTGCCTTCGAGTTTCACACCTTAACAGAGCCAGGCTACTGTGCCACTTAGTATAGGGGTGACTTGGATGAGTTTAAGATTGAGCAGTTAGTGTACCTAAAGGGAGAGCTTAACTGGGTCAC